AGACAAAGCTTAACCAACTGGGCCACACTGGCCAGGGCATGCCCTTAGCTTTTGAGGTCACTGTTTAGTAGTACAGGCAATTGTTACTCATCAATTAAAAAGTCCAGTCTAATGTGATAAAACTTCCAACCTCATTTAAAATTGAACCTCCTCTCCCTCTACCTGTCCCCGCTTGGGCACGCCATGTGAGGGAGGGTCCCAGCACAGGGGAGCGTTCAGAGGCTTCTTCTTCTACCGAACGCTCCTCCTTTTCCCGAAGCTTGGTAACCACAGTGCATGACCCCTCTGGAGTCAAATCAGGACAAGGGAAGGGGGGAGGGTTCAGAGGAGTGTCTACTGTCATTGTCTCAGGGACCTCTCAACTTTCTGGCCTTGTCAGATGTTTAAGGGTAACTTCTTTCACAGGCACCTTTGTGAGTTTTTGGAATTTACACTTTTTGGAGTTCTATTCCTTGCTGTTCTCTGGATAAGGGTGACTGCATTTCTCCTCTGACTGGTATGTTCTCTTCTTTCTCCGACAACAGATTGCAATTTTTCCAGGTGTTAACTTCTGAAAGCTTTTCTCAACACTCTTCAATAGGACCTAAGGTGATCTCATGCCATCCAATATATAAGTGAGCATGGCTCCCATCTGTTCCATAGGACATGCCACATGCATTTTCCTGGGCACACTCTGGAAGTTCAGGCTGATAACCATTATAGCCATTGAGCCTGTTCTTTGTTTTCATTGTAGCTTGTCAGTCTCTCATCCTCTAGACATTAGTCCACAATGTCCCAGGAACTACATGTGCAGTATCAAGTGCTTCTGAAGGTCCCACCAAAGCCCCTTCCCTGTCACCTACTTCTCCCCGTAGGGATAGTAGGACACATAATACATCTGTCTCAGATAAAACATCCTCCTCAAGTTTCCAACTATTTTATGGTTTGAACATGGGTGATTCTTGGCCACCTACTTTGAAAATTTGTGTATCTTGAGCTTGCATCTCATTTTGAATTTTTTTCTCAGCTAAAACATCTCTTTTAAAATCTTGCTATACTATAAAAGCCATAAAATGAGCACTCAAAAGAATGTTTGCTCTACCTCCAAATGTAATGGGTGAGTTCATTGTATATCATTCCTGAAGTGTACACAGTGGAACCATAGGAGTAACCAAAGGGAGAATGTTAATATTCTTATTTATATTGTTTACTCTTCGGCTTTTAATAACTTCAATCCAAACATTTGCTGTTTTATATCTTGTTTCCCATACTTTTCAATAGTTTTATTTTGTGGGCCTTCAGCAAAGCTGAGCTATAACCAAGCGTCCAGATAAAAAGGGTAGGACATGTATTGATCCATTTTTAAATAATCTTCAAAATTAATCTTTAAATAGTTTACTGTCGCTTTGAGATAATACTTAGTTATCTTTATTCCTTTTTATTTTGTTAATTTAATTTTTTTTGTTTGCAACTGTCAACATTGAATATTGCACATAAAATATTCAAAGAATTGCTATGTAGCTAAGCAAATGTAAAGATCTTTAAGTGGGCCCCACCCAACGAAAACATTCCAGCTAAACTTGTGGTGTTAAAGGCAAAAGCAGTATAATACTTAAAATTTTTCTATTCAAAGTAATGTACACTTATTTTTAATGTAAAAAATAGTAAATATATATATATATTTATTTTATTTTATATATATATATATTTTTGTGTGTGTAGGGGTGAGGGGTGTGTGGAAAGGAAGTTTTCTTACTGGTTTTAAAATGAGAAAACAATGTACCAAAGCAATATGTACTTTCTATAGTCCGCTATTATGGAATAACCCGAGACAATGTCACCTTGCTAAAATCTAGCTCTTCACATTTGCTTAAGAACTTCACTCTGTTGGTTATTTAACAAAAAAATTAATCAAAATTATTTAAAAGGAAACATTGGATAAACTTAAAGATGAATTTGGGCACTTAAAGAGGGCTGGCTTTTTTTATATAGAAGAATGTTTTTAAAAAAAGGAATTTCTACGTTTACAAGTGTTTTTCTTCTACCTAGCAATCAAAATGTAATTATTCTATTATTTTTCTTCTAATTTAACATGAGAACTAGGTATGTAATTATAAAAAATTAGTCAGATTATTTGAAATTCCTCAAACTTTGCTTATTTTAAGGCATTCTTATTAGTAAAATAACTAAACTAAGTTAGTATATAATTTTAAATATAATAAATTTCAGTGGAATATTCAAACACCCATATCTGTGTAGCATGAAAAGGACTTGGTTATTTTCCGGTCCTAAAGGAACTCTAAGACAAGAGGGTTTTCATACACGAGGATTCTGGACTTGCTTTCTTTATATTGAGTATAAGCAGAAATGCTTTTATAAATCAGTAACTCACTTCATGGTGACATTCCCATCTAATGCCTTACCCTGTAAGTCTATTATGTAGGGGGAAAGATTCAGAATAAATATTTTATTTTAAATCAAGTTATTGATAAAAGAAAATTGCCATTCTTTGTATTCTTCATTAACACATGACATTAAGAAAATGTAAACACTTGGAAACCATGCGGACATCCCAATAAATTAACTTTTGGTATAAGGCACCCTGCTTAGTTTCATGGTGATTAATCCGTCCTACTGCCTGCGGAGCACAGGCTGCCTGAAATCGCAGAGGTGAAACAATCGCCTCGTTCATGGATGTGCGGGCTCCCAGCGCGGGTGCCGATGTGCAGTCCCATCTGGTCACTGTAACTGACTGTCAGGATGCTGTCAGACTGCTCACGCGCCTGCCAGGACTCTGACAAGAACTCTGTCTCCATTGTAAGGGAAGCTGTGCAGATCACTCCGCAGTAATGAATGAATACTTATTATGCATGTGATACTGTGCCCGGCGCTAAGGACGGTAGGAAGGAGAAGCAACGTCCCTTGTCACTCAAGAACAGCGACCACTGAACTTCAATGAGTCATATCTTCCTTCAGTGGTAATGGAGACTGTGAACCGTATTCCTTACGAAATTTTGAAATCTAGCCACAGATAAAATTGCACCACAAATTCAAAATTACCAATCCATTTGTGGATGCCTTAAAATTTATTTTAATTGGTATGGTACAATAGCATTTCTCTGACTTTTTTACAAGACATGCTTATTGAACTCCCTACTACGTTCCTAGCATTCTTTTAGATGCTGGGGAGATAGTGGAGAATAAAGCCATTTAGGCCTCTGTTTTCATGGTGCCTCTAAATTTGAAGGGAATGGGAAGAGAGGTTGATGGAGAAGAGAAAAGGAAGCAAATAAGAAAATACCACTTAGTGTTAAGTGTTATTTTAAAAAATATAATAATCTTGGGAAACTACATTAGATTGGTCTTCGGAGAAGGCCTTTCTGGAGAGGTGATATAAACATGGACACTTACAGGAAGGGACCATCCAGAGGAGTTCAGATGTGTGCCAGAGAGAGCAAGCTCATCCTGAGGATAACACTGAGATAATATTTGAAAATGCAGCATGAGCTGCTAATGAGCAGTATGGTAGGGACCCGAACTCATGAACTTGAATTCCACTACATTTCATTGATCTTTTAAAAATGTATATTTTTATTGATTTAAGAGAGGAAGGGAGAGGGAAAGAGAGATAGAAACATCAATGAAAAGAAAGAATCATTGATCGGCTGCCTCCTGCACACCCCCCTACTGGGGATCGAGCCCACAACCCGGGCATGTGTCCTGACCAGGAATTGAACCATTGCCTCCTGGCTCATAGGTTGATGCTCAACCACTGAGCCACACCGGCCGGGCTCATTGATCTTTATGTCTAGGAAAAGATCCCAAATTGAATTGCAAAAAGAAAGTGGCAAATAGATATGATAAACACAAGTGTATTAGAATTCCAAGATGGTTGGGGGAGAAAAACTAAATGTAAAAGAAATGTTGAGCCGAGTCCTAAGGAAAGAAAGGAAAAGACTGTTCTCACCTAAGATTTCATGAAGAAAGCTACATGGGCAGATTTGACCCCAACCTGGAGAATTTAACCTTCCCATCTGTAAGAATGTCTACGCCAGCCAGTTTCAATTATGCAAGCTTTTCCTTTGGTGCTCCTGACCTTATTTTTCAGCAGTCAGTCTCTGAGCTCAGGTCTCTTACCTCTCTGTACCTGGACCCTAGAGTAATCACTGCTCCCTGGGTTGTTCAAATGCTTTAACCATTTAGCATTTAGAGCAACATGTTTCCCACTTCTTTGCAACCATTCAACAACTTGGATCCTGTTCTTTGATAGAGATGGCCCTTTGCATTTTTTATGACTCTGATTTTTTTGTGTGTTTAATTAGGTTTTATGAACAAATTGTAGCTTCCTCTTTTGTATTCTATTCAGTGTTTTTGGCATCTCTGAATTACGCCAAAGAGAATTTGACTGACCTTGCACTTGGGAACTTGAGTCAATTAAATCGCTTCTCCAAAGATGAAACAAAGACCAGATATAATTAGAATTTCCTTAGGATGTTGTTATGAGGCCTTATCACTATTTGAATGTTTTTGTAACATGCCTAAAATTAAATAATTAAAAATAAATTGCCTGACATTTTCACCTTTCAAATGGTAACTGTTTAAAGAATTATAAAAATTATGAATGAAACAATAATTGTTAGGGACATTGCAGCATTTTACTTGTGAGGCCCTCCTGCCTGTTTGTATTCAAAATGAAGTGGAATGCTTCAAAAACCAAACAGAAATGAAGCCATTTTGGATTCTGGATGAATATAAGCAAATAAAATCAATATAAGGTAACTAGATCAAAGACTGTATTTTAAAGCATGCAGCCCCCACTATATTTTCATTAGAAAATTAATATCAAAACTCTTTTGTAAAAACGTGTTTAAAGTATAAAACTTTAAATCAAATAAACATATTTAAAATGACTGAAAACACTTTTAATTTTATTACAGTGATTTGTCTCATATTGGTAAATCTATTTTCTATAACTCTAAAAGAAAAAAACATATACATATTTATTTTTATTAAATTCTTTTAAAAATATGGAATGCTTCATGAATATGTGTGTCATCTTTGTTCAGAAGCAATGCTAATCTTCTGTGTATGGTTCCAATTTTAGTACGATATGGGCTGCTACAGAGAACACTATATATATATAGTTCTTAATTGATATATATATATATATATATATATATATATATATATATATATATATATATATTTCTTAATTGATTCGACCAAGTGTAAATGCAAAAATTATTTTTTGAAATAATTCATGTGAAATATTATTGTGAAATATCACAAAAATATCATAATATTGTGAAATATTATGAAAATGCACATACCAACAGGTTAAGTCAGTACATTATAGGATATGAGGTCTGACTTAACAGACATACTTTTTTAAAATATTAATGCTAGAAATTATCACTTCCAAGTGGAGAAATCTTATACATTTATTTACTCTTATTTCCCAGAGTAGTTTTCTGATATCAGCTTGCTCTATAGGATTAGCACTAAAATTAAAACCAATTTGCAGCCCCTTAGTTACTTACTAGTAGTAAAATTAGTGGTTATACTCTGGATAGTTATATTGAATGGAATTCTTGGGTTCTTCTGGACCCACGGAGTTCTGCTTGATTTCTGATGTCTGCCCTGCATGTGGGCAGAGAGAGCAGTAGTAAGCTTTCTACAGATTTACTTTTGCTATCTAAGCTCCAAGGTCCCAGCGATTCCTCCTCACCTAAATTGTGTGGGAATGTTTCAGGATGATTAAAACATGGCAATTATGCAAGTGACATCTCTACTCCTACTATGTCTTTCTTTGATAAGTGAAGAAAAATATTTTTGGATAATTTCCCAGGGAGTGGTACAGCTGCATGGACTTTTCAATACTACCACTGTGCAAGGCTTCATCAACTTTTAGGGAGAGGGGTATGCATCTTTGTTTTGTCCTGCTTCATGAAACTTTTAATATGACGTGATATCGCTGTACAAGGCAAGAAAATGTGTATAGTTCATTTTACTGCAGATGAATTCACAAAGTAATGAGAATAATGATAATCATTGCCTCAAAACTGTTTACTTAATGTTCAACAGAGACTCATAGATCTTGTGAACATTGTATTTTTACTAGTAAGTGTGAGATGTGGTTTCTGTCTGAGAATAAACTAATCTCAAAGTGTACTGACTGGGCTATTGAAACAATCTCAGGATATTAGGTACTTCTGGAACTTTTGTATTAATTACTAGAGGCCCAGCGCACGAAATCGTGCGTGGGTAGGGTTCCTAGGCCTAGCCTGTGACCAGAGCTATCTTCTGCCGCCTCACCAGTCTCCAGTTTCACCCCACCACCACCCACCTGGTTCCCCGTGGTTCCCTGTTGACCATGCTGCAATCAGAGCCTGCAGGCAGGGAAGAGGGGCCAAGAGGTCGACCGTTCAGCCTGCTTGCCAGTCCCAGCCCGGCTCCACCACCACCCACCCGGTTCCCCGGGGTTCCCTGTTCGCCATGCTGCATCAGAGCCTGCAGGCCCTGGGGGGAGAGGGAGGGACTGAGAGGTGGTCAATGCACCTCATAGCGATGGGTCAAGTGGTCGTTCCGGTCATTATTATCGCTGGCCTTTTATATATAGGATGCTGCAACTTGAAGCTATATTATCTTATACCCATTCAGAGTTAACATCTCCATCTCTTCCTCTAGGCACCTACGAATCTATCTCTGTGTCTATTTCTCTATTGTGTTTTTCCCTACACACACACACATACACACACACACACACACACACACACAAACACTTTGATTAGGAAAACATAAAAGTGGTGGAATGCTTTGAGATAGAGATAGAGATGGAGGTATGTCACATAATCACTTTATAAGATTATTGAAAACAAAAATGTTACTTGAACATATTTCTGCAAACTTTATGTAAATATGAGTGTGGTTTATTTATTTTCTTCTGTTTTTAGATTGAATTAAGAAAAATTCCGTTTCTTTAATTTTTTTGTCAAAAATAAATCAAAAGGAATATTAAAAAAAAACACACAAAACACCCTTTATTCTAATGACTAGGTGGCAAATAAAAAAAAAAATTCCAACATAAATCATAATTAAAATTATATCTTTTAAATTTTGGCACAACTACAATGGTTTTTCTTTTTAAGTAAATGTTTTTAGTTTGGAAGACAATCAGATATCTTCTAGGTAGTTGTTACTAAGGTAATTTTATTTGTGATTTCTAAATTCTTGACAACATTGTGTCAAAATAAGCCAATATATAATCCCTACTAATCTTTACCTTAAGAAGTAAAATTATCTTTGTGCTACTATCTTAAAATTCCTACATAATAATAATAATGTTTCAAGGATAATTTATATTTTTAACAGGTGCTAGGCTTTATGGATTGAAGGTAAATGATGAAAAATGAGCCGAAACCGGTTTGGCTCAGTGGATAGAGCGTCGGCCTGCGGACTGAAAGGTCCCAGGTTCGATTCCGGTCAAGGGCATGTACCTGGGTTGCGGGCATATCCCCAGTGGGAGATGTGCAAGAGGCAGCTGATCGATGTTTCTCTCTCATCGATGTTTCTAACTATCTCTCTCCCTTCCTCTCTGTAAAAAATCAATAAAATATATTTAAAAAAAAAAAAAAGAAAAATGAGTTAACATCTTGGTAAAAAGTCTGCTCCATAAACAGGAAATAGAAGATTTTTTTTAAAAAAATTGATTTCTGGAGTCCAACAAATTCCCATTTCTGTGTATCTTTTTTGTTTGTTTGTTTGTTTGTTTTTTTAATTTATAAGAGAGAAAGAGAGAGAGAGATGGAACTCGCAACCTGGGTATGTGCCCTGACCTGGTATGAACGTGCTACCTTTTGGTGTATGGGACGATGCTCCAACCAGCTGAGCCACACTGGAGCTTGTAATTTTAGTTTTATTGCTTCATTAACTAGGATGACATATTCAATTTATAATTACATGACTTATAATCAATAACTGAAAATTTACAAAACTATTAAAATATCTTTTAGATATTTCTATTCCTTTGCAAAGAGAAAAAAAGAATCTAGAATCACTATTTTAATGTCAAGTTCTTAAGTCAAAATTCGAGTTTAAACTATTGAACGAAACTATTACATTAGTGTTGAAACTATTAAGAGCAAGTAATTAAAAATGTTGGCTCAGATGCCGAGACTGATCAAGGCTTTCGTTTACTACTCAGTGTTCTTTGGTGCTCCCCGAGCATGGTGGCTCCGTCCTCCCTGCTCTCTTCTCACTTTTATCTCCTGTGGGGATGCAGTTCCTACATCTATTTACAGAGCTGTCTTCCTTTTAAATCTTAACACATCAATGCCACACCTTTCTGGACATATCCTTCATAAGCATGTGACTAATGAACAAACAATGAATGATCAGTAACTACTCTATGGTAACTTTGGAACTTTCATTTGGGTGTCAAAAATGATACAGAGATTGTTTTCACACTTTGTTGATCTTTAAATAACTTCTTGATAACCTTCCTATCCTTTAAGTCTCATTTACTTCATGTGAAAGAGTTCCACACTTCTTTCAATGCTATTAATATCAATAAGATATTCAGGTTTGACTAAATCTATAACTACTTGTTCTAAATTTGTTTCTGAAAAGTGATTAAATCTGACCATCTTATAAAATAAAAAAAAGGATCTAACATATCTAAAGAACTCAAAGAAATATTAATCTAGACTAGAGATCAAAAAAATGAGCTAAAGATTAAAACAATTGAGAGATGCTGGACATGCATTCTTTGTATGATTTATCTTCAGTCCAATGATACAAAGCTGTCTTTTGCAAAATCACTATAATACTAAAGAATTGATAAATATAGAGTTGCAGTTTTGCACAATGAAAGAATTCTGGAGATTGATTACAGAAACTGAAGATGCTTAATACTGAACTCTATGCTTACAATGACTAAGATGGCGAATTCTGTTATGTATGCTTTATCACAATTAAATTTTTAAAAGAATTAGCAAGAAAAAAAGTGAGAGGATACCTTGAGTTCATAATATCAAATATGAAGCAAAAATTTAATAAATTCAAGGTGCCATTTTTTTAAATATATATTTTATTGATTTTTTACAGCGAAGAAGGGAGAGGGATAGAGAGTTAGAAACATCGATGAGAGAGAAGCATCGATCAGCTGCCTCCTGCACACCCCGTACTGGGGATGTGCCTGCAACCAAGGTACATGCCCTTGACTGGAATCGAACCTGGGACCTTTCTGTCCCCAGGCCAACGCTCTATCCAGTGAGTCAAACCGGCTAGGCTAGGGACAAGGTGCCATTTCCAATTAGTGCCTTAAAAACACCCACAGCCAAGACCGGTTTGGCTCAGTAGATAGACCGTCAGCCTGCGGACTGAAAAGTCCCAGGTTCGATTCCGGTCAAGGGCATGTACCTTGGTTGCGGGCACATCCCCAGTGGGAGGTGTGCAGGAGGCAGCTGGTCGATGTTTCTCTCTCATCGATGTTTCTGACTCTGTATCTCTCTCCCTTCCTCTCTGTAAAAAATCAATAAAAATATATTTTAAAAAAAACAAACAAAAAAAAACACGCACAATGAAAAAACCACTTAAGGAAACTCTAATTTCCTGCCAGTTGCAGTGCTTTATTTTTACTTTCCATGTATTCATTTATTTAGGACTTCATAATTCTAGGTTGATGACTGACTATTGTCCCTTGACCTTTGCATGGACTACTTTGGTTTACGTATTTACTAACTTACATTACCTAGTTGTTTTTAATTATGCATTAAACACCTGAAAATGTGTCATCCAGAGCAAAATCTAAGAGATGGTAAATAACTGGTTTCTTACCACCAATTTTCCCTTTTTAAAAAAAAAAAAAATTTTCAATCTTGGGTAACTATCTCTGAATCATTCATCATTCTCATGCTTTTCTTTTTACATATTTTTTGTGTCTATATATACTCACCTAAAAAGTGTATTTTAGTTGTTTTTCACATTATTCTAGGGAACAAACTATAATTTAAGAAGTATGTTCTTTTCACATAATAATGAATTGTTAAAATCCATCCTTATTGCTTTGCATTCATGTTTTGCTGCTGGCTACTATTTAAAATTGTGTGAAAGTAAAATTGCA